TGTGTGTGTGTGTGTGTGTGTGTGTGTGTGTGTGTTTTGGACTGAAGTTCAAAATTCTGTGGCTACTTAAAACTGTATTGAAATTTCCTCAGAAATGTTCTGAACCATGAAACACTGACACCAGTGCCCATAGCAGAATGAGACTTCCAAAATGAGATTCTTCAGTCTAACTTGACCATTGGTTGGGCATTTAGTACACCCTCTCTTTTTTTAAGTGTGAGTGCTACATGCTCCTCAGCAACTCCATGCATAACAAGTTCAAATTCTGATAACATTCTTTCCCTAGTCTTGTGGGAGTGGAGGAGGATAGGCCAGCAAAAAGGTATCCATGTCCTTAATGCTGTAGAGCATGCAGGGAAGGTAATGCTACTTCATACATTGAATTAATAGCTGCTGGTCACTACAGCAGAAGCATGCAGGTAACTTGCATTTCCCTATTCACAGGCCATTTTTACCTTTTGGTAAAGGTCTGATTTTTGGGAGTTCTGGTATGGATTAAGGCTATATTCCTAACTTCATTTTTGTTACATGGCCCAGGCTTAAAAAGTGGGATTTAATGTCACCTATCTTAATTTTGTGAACATTTAAGAATGCCTTACTATCAAAGCACAAATAGTTAAACGGAAATAACTTGAAGCAGCATGATAAACTTTTCAGACCTGATTAGTTTCTCTATCTGAGATCCTATCCCTAATTTATTAATATGGTTGAGAACAGTCTAAAGGGAAGTAACTGAAGATGCAAGTGCAAGAAATTTCAGCACTGCTTACAGGGGACAAAAGATTGATGTCATAAGTGCAGGTTTTGATTAAACTTCAAAACCAGCTTCACATAGTAAGAAATGATCCTCACCAGATAAATGAAGTTCCATTTGAGATTTAGGAATACACCACTGAGGGGAAAAGTGCCGCTGAAGTACCAGTGTCAGTCTTTTGTGAGAGAGGCAAAATGTGATTTGATTTTTGGATTAAGTGAAACATCAACTGTCCATCCATTCTTTCTTTTAGGAGTTGAATGACCTGGCACGTGATCCCCCAGCTCAGTGTTCAGCAGGGCCTGTTGGAGATGACAGTAAGTACTGCCTCAGTAATAAGGCATCTAGCATGCACATTCATAGGCAATACTGGCACTGGCCTCCACTTTCTTATCTCTAAAATGGGAATACCTAACTCACAGGAGTCTCCAGCTTCAGGAAATACTTGTAAAGTCTTATCTGAATGGAAGATCCTAAATAAGTGCTAGATGTTACTCCATGTATGCTTCCAGATTCTACTCCAACACCTTAATATTTTCCTCCTGGTAGTGGAGATCTTCCAGTGATTCTTAATTATTGCAGACATCTTAAACTCTCTTTACCTTCTGTTACATATTCTCTTGTATGAACAGTGGTACACATGGCCCGCTGCTACAACAGCGGGTAAAATGCTGGGGTAGCTATCAGAGTTCGTATCTAAACCAGCAAGATACCCAGGCTTAACATATCTTGTGATGCATTATCTGCCTTTATACAGAGGATGCCATCAGGACTACAGTGTATACAGGAGCAGCTTTGAAATAAGGTTGTCACATTAAATATAACCCTTACATAAAATAATATAACCTTTGCACAAAAGATACATAAGAATCTTAGCTTAAAAAACCCCTAAAGCATTAATAACAGAAATGCATTGTTGTAGTCTGATATAAACTGCACAATCCAATTACCTCTACTTTAGCCTTGAAGAGGGCTCCATATCATCCTCTCTGAGGAAGAATGTGAGGGCACATTCTTACTATGGTCAAACAACTTAGACACTGAAAGAATCTCCATCCTCAATCTCAGCATCAATATGGTTATGTTAAGGGGAGATCTGGGTCATACTTGTTGGTTTTTTTTGTTTTTAAAGTAGGGAAGAAAAATTGGGGATCCACCATATGTATTAAAACAGGGTGTTAACATCTGGGAGTCTGACTTCTTCTAGGGCAGTGGTTCTCAACCAGGGGTATGTGTACCCCTGGTGGGACGCAGAGGTCTTCCAAGGGGATACATCAACTCATCTAGATATTTGCCTTCTTTTACAACAGGCTACATAAAAAGCACTAGCGAAGTCAGTACAAACTAAAATTTCATACAGACAATGACTTGTTTATACTGCCCTATATACTCCTGAAGGTCTTCTGCGCCAAAAAAATTAAAATTCTGCACACTATTTTAAAATTCAGCAAATTGTATTGGTCAATAATTAAATGTGGAGGCTCCAGCATGGCAGTGGGGAGCACAGGCCACTGACTGCACACAGGTAGATCACCCTGTGTGCCGGTGTACCCTCCTCCTCCCCTCCCCACACACATGGGCTTGGCAGTAAAGTTGCACCCGACCCTGACACAGTGCAAGGACCAGGACTGTCTCATAAACACCCCGGGGCCCTGCCCTTCTGTGCCAAGCACGCTAGATGTAGTCAGGCAGGCTCAGCCCAGCAGGATCCAAGTATGGAGGGGGTTAGTGTCCCTTCATCCAGGTGTGGGGTGCTAGGGTTCTGTGTGGGGCAGTCTGGCTGTGCGCGGCTTGGTGGGGGTCTGGGTGCGAGGGAGATCTGGATGAACAGGGGCTTGTTTGGTGCGGGGGGCATCTGAGTGCAGACACAATGGGGGCTCTGCAGGAGGGTCCAGGTGAAGGTGGTTGGAGCTCGGTGGAGGGTGGTGTCTGGGGGTGGAGGGCTCAGCTGGGGGGTCCAGGCGCTGGCTTGGTGAGGTGCAGGTCTGGCTGCTGGCTTGGTAGGGTTCAGTGGGATGGGAGTCTGCGTGTGGGGAGCTAGTCAGGGTGGGCCAGGTGCATGTGGGATGGGACTTGTTGGGGTGGGGGTTTGAGTGCGGGGGGTGGTCTGGGTGCAGGGTGAGGTCCAGATGCAAGGAGGTGGGGCTTGGCGGGGATTGCGGGGTCTGGGTGCAGGAGGGCTCCAGATGCAGAGGATGAGGCTTGTTGCGGTGTGAGTTTTGGTCAGTGGCGGTTCTGGGTGCAGGGCGTGAGGCTTGGCGGGGCAATCTGGGTATGAGGTGGGTCCAGATGCACAGGGGTTGGGTGGATGGGGGAGCAGCTCCCCATATAGTGACTTCTCTCCTCCTCCTTCCCCCCCTTCCCCCCCCCCCCCAGCAGAGGAGCGATGGGGGCAGGACAAACTCCTGGACGTATTCCTTTCCACACAAACATACACATTCATAGGAAGATAGGATATCAGACTAGTGGTGGTCTAGTCCAGTGTCCTGTCTTGAACTCTGACTAACATCAGATCTTGCAAAGGAAGCAAGAAACCCCCAAAGTGAATATTTTATTAAATCTCCTGTGTAGGAGAAACTTCTTCCTAACCCCATAAAGTTTTTTGCCTGTCCTGCAGCATGAGGTCTTATATTCCTTATATAGCAGGGTTTCTCAACCTGAGAGTCACCAGAATCTCGGAACCAGCTGGGCTCCCTACTCTGACCATTGCGACCTGTTGCACATAGTTGCAGCAGTGCTCAGGTTTGGCCAAGCTGCCTCTCTGGCTCTGCATCATTATGACAATCAGGCCAAGTTTGTGTGAGTGGTGCTCTGGCCAGCTCCTGTCATGGGGCCTGGGCCAAACCTGAGTGGTGCTGTGACCTCAAAGGTTGTGATACTTGAAGCAGGGAGCTGATGCCACCCAGACCCATTGGACAAGAGCAAGGAGGGGGCGGTTGGGAAATAGTGGCCCGCAATGTAACCCCTTCCCTGCAACCCAAGCCATCTTCCATACTTTCTGCCTGCCCCCATCCCAAGCCCCTGAGGCGGTTCTCCCTCATAGTTGGATGATTCCTTCTGTCATACCACCCCTTTACCCTCTACCCTCCATGGGCCTTATGTGGGGCTGTATTTTTTGGGGAGCTATTGGCTCGCCACCTCTTTGCCCCCACTTCCTTCCCCAAACCCACAACTCCTTCCACACTATACCACAATCTCCCCACTTTACCTTCAGGTCCCCAAATCTCACCTGCCCCATAATGCCATTTGCCTCCCCGGGCTATGGGAGAGAGGCTGTTTTGGGGATATCTCAGCTTGCCACTCCCAGTTGCCACTGTATGAGGTCCTCAGCTGTTCACATCTGGCCAGAGCATCTGGAATCTTAGCTCTGAGCACCCTGATGGATCCCTGCAGGGGAAACGGGGCATCAGGTCTGGGGAAGCATCGGCAGGGGAGAAATCTCTGGGTTGTGACAAGCCATCAAGGTTTACAAATGTATTTTGAGCCCAAAGGTTGAGACTTGCTGACTTTTTAGCAGTCTTTTATCCTGAGTAACTCTAGACACTCTACGTAATGTACAACCAGTTAATCAAGTGCATAACCTTAAATAACCATATACATTCTTTGATCTACAGCCAATTTACAATCTCTCTGAAATATCAGTCTTTTGTATACTCGTACTCTTCATGTTTGTGGCCATTGTCTTAAAACTAAAACCTAGATCTTGCAAATAGACCCATGCAGGCAGACCCTTATGCCTGCGTGGACTCCCATGGCTCCTGTGCAGGTAGTGTCTTCCCACACTCCTCCCTACACATCCAAAATTGGTCTAGTTTCACAGTGAGGGCCTTATTTGCTTCATATTAAATATATATTTTGTTTCTCCTCTCCTAGTTTAAAATTGACATTTATGAAAGTCAGAATTCTTCTAAAAATCCAAGTATGCCAAAGTAGGAATTAGAGATGATGTAAATTTCAGGATTACATCTGTCTGAATCTTGTATTCTAAGTTGTTACTTGTACTGATACCGCGGTACTAGAATTAATACCTCAGTATCATTAGAACTGAAAAGCTAGCAAAAAGCACTAACTTTTAACTTTGTGCAGTTCATAACTTGTATAGTCAGTTTCACTCTTTGCCTGTATAGTTGGTCAGGCTTTTTTCTTGCTCAAACGTTTCTTTAGATTTTTTTTTTTAAAGATTATAAACTCTCGTAGCTTACAAGAAGTTTATAAAAACTAGTTTAAAAAAATCTGTCAACTGTCCCTATGTAGTTGAATATTTGACCTTGATCTTGTATAACTGGATGTGTGGCAGTGTAGATTTGTACTGTAGCAGAATGTACTGTCTGGTGTCTTATAGGATGGGAGTATGGCTAGATGGTATGTGAATGGTTTGATTTAGACTTCTAGGGATTGTGGTGTTGGTGTGGTACTACGTATTTCAACTTTCATGTAGGAGTTTCCAGGCTTACTACACTCTACCCCGGGGTGGACAAAGTATGGTCCATGGGCCGTTTTAAGATGTCCCTCGAGCTTCTGCTGGGGAGTGGGTTCTGGCACTTGCCCTGCTTCAGCATTGTTCTGCTCCAGCCAGGGAGCAGGGTCTGGGGCTGTCTCACACCACTGTCCCACACCACTCCCGGAGTATCGCCCTGCTCTGGCTTCTATGTGTAGGTGCAGCCAGGGGGCTCCACTCTGCACGCTGTCCCCACCCCAAGCGCTGCCCCCACAGCTCCCATTGGCCGGGAACTGCGGGGAAGTGCGCAGAGCTGCCTGGCTGCGGCTCCACATAGGAGCCGGAGTGGGGACATGGCCGCTGCTTCCAGGAGCTGCTTAACTCAAGTGCTTCCTGGAGCCTACACCCTGAGCTTCTCCCCGTGCCCCAAACCCCTGCCCCAGCCCTGATCCCCTTCCCGCCCTCCGAACCCCTTGGTCCCAGCCCGGAGCACCCTCCTGCACTCCAAACCCCTCATCCCCAACCCCACCCCAGAGCCTGCACCCCCAGCTGGAGCCTTCGCCCCCCCCTCCCCTGCACGCTATTCCCCTGCCCCAGCCTGGAGCCCCCTCCCGCATCCTGAACTCCTCATTTCTGGCCCTCCCTGGAACCCGCGCCCATACGCACCTCAACCCCAATTTTGTGAGCATTCATGGCCCACCATACAATTTCTATTCCCAGATGTGGCCCTGGGGCCAAAAAGTTTGCCCACCCCTGCTCTACCCATCTTCAAAGGGTTGTTTTACATATGCATACAGTTTACTGACCAGTGCTTTGGTGATAACTGCAAATACTTTTGGACTTTTCAGATTAGAAATTATAATAAGTAACTTGTGTTTTCCTCTTTTCAGTGTTCCATTGGCAAGCTACAATAATGGGACCAGTAAGTATATGAATTTCACATCTCCGTGTAAAGAACCCTTGAAGTTGATTCTCTTGAAATAATGATTCTTTATTTTAACAGAATGACAGTCCCTATCAGGGTGGAGTATTTTTCCTGACAATTCACTTCCCAACAGATTACCCCTTCAAACCACCTAAGGTGAGTGGCTTGTATAAATCTACATAGTGGAGTGTTGTATAGCCTACATCAAGGGTTGGCAACCTTTCAGAAGTGGTGTGCTGAGTCTTCATTTATTCACTCTGATTTAAGGTTTCGCGTGCCAGTAATACATTTTAATGTTTTTAGAAGGTCTCTTTCTGTAAATCTATAATATATAACTAAACTGTTGTTGTATGTAAAGTAAATAAGGTTTTTAAAATGTTTAAGAAGCTTCACTTAAAATTAAATTAAAATGCAGAGCCCCCTGGACCAGTGGCCAGAACCCGGGCAGTATGAGTGCTACTGAAAATCAGCTTGTGTGCTGCCTTTGGCACGTGTGCCATAGGTTGCCTACCCCGGCCTACATCGATGAGCCTAAACTGAAATTTCCCCTCTTCTGCAGGTTGCATTTACAACAAGAATCTATCATCCAAATATTAACAGTAATGGCAGCATTTGTCTTGATATTCTACGGTCACAGTGGTCTCCAGCACTAACTATTTCAAAAGGTAACTAAATGAGCATTGGAGGTAATCTTACTTTTGTTAAATTATTTATTTGGATTTATTAATGTGAAAAACTGTTGCCTGCCTATTCCTGATTACTCATGTGGTCAAAACTTCTAGCTCAATATCTAACTCCATGAGTGCTGCATATAGGGGAGGGATAGCTCAGTGGTTTGAGCATTGGCCTGCTAAACCCAGGGTTGTGAGTTCAGTCCTGGAGGGGGCCATTTAGGGAGCTGGGGCAAAATCAGTACTTGGTCCTGCTAGTGAAGGCAGGGGGCTGGACTTGATGACCTTTCAAGGTCCCTTCCAGTTCTAGCAGATGGGATATCTCCATTGATTTATTTTTTATTTATTTTTATACTTTTAATCTAGAATCTTAAACACTGTCCCTATTGTCTAGTTATACCAATGAGTCCTTGATTTATCTCAGTGGCATAAGCAGAGGTAACTCTTATCTCATTACCCAGGCTTGCTGGTCTGTACCTTTGTTCATATGCATTTGAACAATAAACTTACATTTAGGAGTTTAAGAACATGGGGTGGGAAAGTGCCTGTAGTAATGAATTTTCATACCACGCTCATGACTGTAGTAAAGCACTTCCAGTAGTGTGCTTAGCAGTGTGACTATGCATCTGGCATGTGGTTTTTATTCTCATCTTTTCTCCATGGGAAGATGCATGTGCATTGGAGAGTCTTGTTTTGGTAGGTTTTGTACTTGGAAGGGAATAATTCATGGTGTATAGGTGCTATTCTAGAATAATATAGCTATATCTAACAAAACAAGCTGTTAAAATCAGACTATTTAAGTCAATTTACATGAGTAAAACATCTTAAAGCAGACTTCCTTTATTCAGAGGAAAATATACATAGGGACAAACTCTTATATCTTTTAGTGGGACTGAATGATAAAACCATGGAGGCATGGGTTTGCTAAGATCACATTGTTCCAAAACAAATTGTCTTGCAATATCCTCAACTATTGCCCTACATGCCCTGAAAAATCTCAACTTGGTATGTCCTGTTTTTATGACCATCTGTGCCATTGTGTGGGGTACATTTTACTTTCTCTCAAACTAGAGGATCATAATTTGTGAAGTATTGGACAAGCAGTATATCCCATGTTAAAGGGCCATTCATGTCCAATTTGACATAATCTTTCTCTCCCATGCCACTACATGGGTTTCCAGGTTCGTTCTTCCCTTCTCACTAGATGTTCACCTAATGCTGGTGGTTGTCCATGAAGGCAGCTCCTGCTACCTCTTCTCTTGTGTACTAAAGCTCCTAATGGGAGCAGTTAGGCTGGCTCACTTCCAGATACTCTATAATATATAGTGTGGCCTTCAAGAACCTGTATGTTTGCAGAAGCAGTTGGAAACAAAAGAGCTAGACCAGGGATCACTATTCGTTCATGAAGCTGAAAGTGAAATTGTCACTGCTATGAAGTGACGATCCAGCATCAATAGAGAAAATAAACTAGATCTTAAGTCCTTTGACTGTCAAATTAAGATACCAATTTCCTTACTTATGACCTTTGCCTACAGAAACTTTGATCACCATCTAGTTTCCTTTGTGTACTTTATCACACAGAGCTGTCTTTTTTCCAAAGCAAATACATTTTTCTCTATACAGGAAGGGTTTTAAAAGGAACAATGAGTGAAGAGTATAAATCCCTTTTTCTACTTTATATATGCTAAACTAGAAAAGCTGGAAACAAAACAGTCAAAAGCAAAGTATAAGATAACAGGACAATTTGCAAATGTCTGGTTTATGTTTTATTTGGTATAAAATAAAAAGCAGGGTGTGACAGCTCTGGTAAAACTCCCCAGGCTGCTGTTTGGGTGTCGTCATGCTGGAACCTATACACTTAAGTTTCCCTGGGTTTCGGTGGGCTCCAGCCATCATCTTTGGCTCCATATTCCCTTGCACACTTCCTCATACAGACTGTTAAATCTTTCGTGGAAGTGAGTCCTCCAGGTCCAGCAGCTCTAGACACCAGGTCCTGTTCTGACCCCCAAGATACCACAGTAGCTCAAGCACACTCTTCAGAGATCCAACCTTTTGAGCACTGTAGTTTACAGTACCTCTCCAGGGGCACATAAGTGAAGCACATAATACATAGGCTTTGCAAAGGTTTCAAACACAATTACATTGATAAGTACAAGAAATATACATATCTAAACAACAGACTTGTGTATACATTTCCCTTCCTCAATTTCCTCACCACTCCGTGTTGTTTGGGACTTGTCAGTCTTCTATCACCCCTGCCCTCCTGTAGATGGCTTCGTCTCTGGAACATGGAATTTCTCTGGTCTCTTTTCCATCTCCTTCCAATATTGCCAGTGAGATCCTTTCTTTGATAACTTCCAGTCCCCTTTGTCAGAGGACTCCTGATCAGTCTCATGAGATGCAGTCCCCCACCAGATGATCCATTGTTTAGTTATGTTTTCCTGGAGTCCAGACTTAAAAAACTGGGGTTTGCTGAGTGGTACCCATTTCTTTGTCCAAGGGGCCCTCTATGTGACTAGAGGTCATCAAGATTTAGTGACCCTCCCTTGTTAGCCCTGTCACTATCCCTTGGAAATTCAGCCTAGCATGGAAGTAAAAATACAACAAAGCATTCAGCCCCACATTCAAAATGGAGTTGTTTGATAAAGAGCTCATCCTCCCAAACTGGAATTTATAAATTTACACAGATTCCCCAAATGGTCATACAAGGACAAACCACCAAATGCCTACTGAAAAGGAGGCAGTGGAAATATTAGCTCTGCCATGTCAACTCTGAATGCCAGCTCTCAATGTAGAGGCAGAATGGGGAATCAACTAAGTTCCCTGGAAGAAGTTCAGGGATCTTAGAGAAACTTTGTTCTTAGTACACAATTAGTAGAGTTCATCAGGAAATAGAAGGTTTTCCATGGAAATTCCAACATTTTTGAAGTTTTTGTTCCGAATTGGAACAAAGTCAACATTTACCAAAGAAAGGAAATCTGTTTGGAAAAACTGACTCCTTAAAATAAGTTAAATATTTTTGTATTAAGTTTTAAATATCTTAACAATATAATTACGCAATTTGTTTGGCCTTTATTCTCTCAACGTTTGTCAAAATTGACACTTCCAGAGTCTTCAGATTTTTGACAGAACTGTTCCATGAGATTTTGATCAGCTCTAACAATCGGCTAAAGCCATTAAGTTCGATTGAACCTTCTTTAAAAGAAGGTTCAAACTGAATAATCAGTGCTCTCTTTAAAGGACAACAGCTTAAAATCTATTTTTTCTTAAAGGCAGTGAACTTAAAATGAATAAAAGGAAATGATTTTTATAAAGCATAATTAATTTGTAGAACTAAATACTATAGCATGTCACTGAGGTTAAGAGCTTAGCAGAAAATAGCACATAAAACTTTATTCACCGTGGCATAAGCCAACCACTAACTGCTGGAGGTGAGGGGAAAGGTTAGGAAGAATCTTCGTCTAGGTCAGGTTGAGGCTTAACTGCACTACAAGACTTCTTACATAACCTTCTGAGTCATCTGGCACTGACGAGGCTGCAGGGCTAGACATTACTGGTCTGGTCTCGCATGTTCCCAAAGGTACTTTTGGGTATTACACCTTGGAGATGTCTTGCCAACTTGCAGGGCAGTGGCTTGTCTTGTCTTAATTTCTCTTTCCTGTTTGTATAGCTTTCTTTAATTTTTCATAAACTGAAATGGAGAAGCTTTCTGTAAGTTGTTTTGTAATGATATTTGGTCTAGTAACAATGGTAGCTGAAGACTCAGGCTGAGAGTTCTTTAAATTGCTTGTTACATCAGCAACAATATGTAGACTTCAATTACAAATAGAACCTCAGTTATGAAAATCTTGGGAATGGAGGTTCGTAACTCTGAAATGTTTGTAATTCTGAACAAACATTATGGTTCTTTCAAAAGTTTATTGACTTAATACAGCTTTGAAACTTTACTATGTAGAAGAAAAATGCTGGTTTTAACCATCTTAATTTTAGTGAAACAAGCATGGAAAGTTTCCTTATCTTGTCAAATCTTTTTTTTTAAACTTTCCCTTTATTTTTTTATTAGTTTACATTTAACACAGTACTGTGTTGCATTGCTTTTTTGTCTCTTCTGATGCCTGATTGCATACTTCCGGTTCCAGATGAGGTGTGTGTGGTTGACCTGTCAGTTCGTAGCTCTGGTGTTCGTAACTCTGAGGTTCTACTGTATAAGTGAACCTCCTGTGGTGATAGGAATTGCTAATAAGAAAGGATATAAGGGAAGGATGAATGAAGACCTCTTATTTTGGACAAATTTAATGCAACTTGTTCTTTAACCACTTCTGGGTTGTGGCTTTTGCTTGCATGTGCTGTGTGCAGTGATTTCACTTGCAAAATTACATATAGATTACATTCTTTTAATGTATGGGTTTTTGGTGAAGTTAAGGCAAATGTCAGTGACGGTTGCCCATGCAATCTTAATTCAGTCCCCTTGTGCATATGTATTATGCTAGTCTTTAACTACCATGATCACATACTGTCCCACAGGACCCTTGCCTAATGCAGTGCACAGTATGGACTATGCCCACTGAATGGGTAGCTATACAATATTTCTCTTTAACCTCATTCAGTGTGGCTCTGCACATTACTTCACACTATTTAAAACCTGCACTGAATACTAAGCTCTGTGTCTTAGTATCTTAATGAATTATCTTCTCACAACCCATGTGAAGTGAGACGACATCCCCATTTTACACGTGGGGAACTGAGGCACAAAGATTAAAGCCAAAATTATTAATGCCCACTAGTTTTGGGTGCCCCATTTGAGAAACCTAGGATTTTCAGAATACTTAGCATTTTATGGTTTTACTAATAGTTGAAAGCCTGTGCTGTCACACAGGTATAATTTGTAAATTTTAAAATGTCTGAGAATTTAAAAATTGGATGGTAACAGACCGTGAATCCCAGTGATTGAACCTGGTGATATTCTAAACAAAGAGCTTTCAGCCATGCTTGTA